CACTGAACTCACATAGCTTCAGTAATAGGCTGCCTTCATTAAAATTAAGGACAGTATCTTAGAGTGGGCCGGAGTGGGTAGAACCCACGTCCTTGGGAGGTGATAATCTCTAGGTGGGAAGATCCTTGGGAGGCCCCGTAGTGGTTGGGAGCGTGGCCTTGGGACTCAGGCTCTCTGGGCTTGAGCCCTAGCTCTACCTCTTGCCTTTTGTTGACCTTGGGCGAATCATTTAGCCTTTCTGGGTCTCAGTGTTCTCACTGTAAAGTAGGGAGAAGGCTAGTACCTGTCCTACAGCATTGAGAATTAAAAGAAATAATACGAGGGTACCTAGCTCAGCCACTATTTAAGCATTAGCTTTTGCTAATACCACTACCTGACCTTGGGTGGCATTTTATAAAATACTTCCTGAGTTCACCTTCAACCATCTCAGTTCTTGAGCTGGACTTCGAACTGAGGCCTCTGGCTGCAAGTCCAGTATTCTTTCCATTATGCAGAACTAGGTGTCTGTGAACCTCTTCCCCATCACTATCCAAATGCCAGGCTCCATCCCCAGGTGTGACTCACTCCCTCTGCTCAGGGGTCCTGCCTCCCTGGCACTGGTCATCATTGATGGCCAGACTGCAGGTTATGGCCTCCTCCCTTTGAGAAAACACTTCCACATATGGGAGGGTGGGAATGACACGAGGCTAGGCCTAACCTCGAGTCCATGAGATTGAAGAAGAAGATGAAGAAAAGGAAAAAACCCACATCATCTACGTTCTTTGGTACATAAGCTATCCTCGGTCACATTTGCTTCTTCATTCAACAAGCGTTTATTGAGTGCTTACTCTGTGCCAGCCACTCGCTTTTCTAGATGCTGAGGACAGAACAATGAATGAAACAGAGATCCCTGCCATGCGGACATTCCATTCTAGTGGAGGCAGACAATAACACATTTTTAAAGAGACAATAAATAAATGAAAGAGCCTGTTTGAAGTTGAGAAATAGTCTGGGAAAAATGGAGCAAAATAGGGTGATTGGGAATGGGGGCACTGAATGAGTTGGTATTTTTAAAAAGGGGAGTTGGTCAGTCCAGGCCCTCTGAGGAGGAAACACTTAAGCCAAGACTTGAAGGAGGTACAGGAGCTGGCCAGACAAATATCTGGAGAAGAGCATTCTGGGAAGAGGGAATAGCAGGTGCAAAGGCCCCGAGACAGGGGCCCACCTGAGATGTTTGGGAAGCCGGAAGGAAGACAGTGTGACCGAATGGAGGTTGTGTTGGGAGATAAGGTAATGGGGAGTAGATGACCGGGGGTCTGGTAGCTGTGGTAAGGATTTGGCCTTGCCCTCAGCCTCTGTATCCAATGATACCTTGTAAAGATCTTTCCATAATAGCAGGTGAAGAGTCTTCTCACTTTGTTCAGCTGCATACTATTCCACTGTATGTGAGGACTACGTTTTAATAACTACGTTTTTAAAACTGCCTTTAAATCACGGAAACATTTAAGTTGTTTCCAATCTTTTGCTCTTTCCAAAAAGTGCTGCAGTAAATAGTGTTGTACATATACCATTTTCATTTGGGTAAGCCTATCTGTAGGACAGATTTCTGGAAGTGAAATTGCTGGGTAGAAGAATATATGTGCAAATAATTTTTATAGGCAGGGCCAGATAAAAATTGGCCTTCATAAGGATTGTATTAATTGATGCTCCCAGTCAGTGATTTGGTTGGGGATGAGGAGGAGAATCATTTCCCCACCCGACCTCCTTTAATGTACACCTCCCCCATGAGATACTGGTAGGTACCCATAATTTCTTGTACTCCTCACGACTCTCCTGTGACCTGAGTACTCGTGATCCTATTTCACAGCTGAAGAAACAGCACAGAGAGGTTAAGTAACCTACCAATGTTTACACAGCCAGGGAGGGACAGAACTTGGATTCTGACACCGACCATTTCTCAGCGTAGCATTTCTAACCATTTTTCACAAGGTAGGAGTCCTGAGGATCCCTGCCCTCTGCCCCATGCAGCTGGGGTTTGAGAACCTAGAGAACAGGAGGTGAGTAAAAATGGGCCGCATGCCTGTACAGCTCTGCCCAGTGCTGTGCCTGTGTCCTGGAGACCCTTGCAGGCCAGTGATGGGGGAGGGGAGAGGCCAGCCCAAGGGATCTGGAGCCACAGTGGCAAAGCTAGTCAGCTCGGCCCTCTCCCTGTCTCCTCCCTCTGCCAGCCCCAGTGGAGAGGCCTGGGAGGCTGGGGATTAGCTAATTCTGCTCTGGGTGAGGAGCTGCCTGCTGCTGTCTGCCGGGTCATCTTGCTCCAGGGATTGAGTTTCAGCATTTCACTGATGAAAATAAATCAGCCCCTTGATTGTCCTGCATGGCCTGGGAACCTCTGCAGCCTGGCGTGTATTTACAGACTTCCTATAAGTCCCTGTTCCTGTCCTAGCCTCAGGGGCTTCATTGCTGCTGCAGAAATAGTAGGAGAGAAGAAACAGGCCCGCAGAGTCCAGGGGCTCTGGGATCCAAACAGGGCCTGGTGGTGGAGTGTCTTCTCCGAGTTGTATCCTTGAGGATTAAGATCCAAACAGGACTTTAGGGATCCTCTACTTGCTGTCAGCCATTGCACAGGGGAGTAAACTGAGGCCTGTCCAAACTCACCCCTTAGAATTCTGGCGCCTTGGCTCCCAGTCTGCTGCTGCAGCCAGACCACGTTTTCTTTTCTTTCTCTCTCTCTCTTTTTTTTTTTTGAGACACAGAGTCTTGCTCTGTGTCCTAGGCAGGAGTGCAGTGGCACGATCTTGGCTCACTGCAACATCTGCCTCCCGGGTTCAAGCAATTCCCTGTCTCAGCCTCCCAAGTAGCTGGGACTACAGGTGCCCGTCACCAGGCCTGGCTAATTTTTGTATTTTTAGTAGAGATGGGGTTTCAGCATCTTGGCCAGGCTGATCTTGAACTCCTGACCTTCTGATCCACCCGCCTCAGTTTCCCAAAATGCTGGGATTGCAGGTGTGAGCCATCTCGCCTGATCAGTATTTTCTTTAGGCCTGTTTGTCACACTGTGGCTGGTTAGAGGTCTAGGGACAGAATTGGAGAGGTGAGTTTTAGCTGCTGCTGGAAGGTTGGAGGTCTGACATTCCGGAGAACCCTCTTGCCTTCTGGGAATCTGAGAAACAGAAACAGGTGCCAGAACTAGATTTTCTAGATTTTCTGAAAGTTGAGAAGAATCCTTTTACCCCATACATCTGTCTAGGTGGGATGAGTGACCATGGCTCAAAAACAAGGCAAACTGAGGGTTTTGACAAGGCCCTGGCTCATTCTTATGCAAAGGGGACTCAGGAGTCTCACCCCAAAGTCCCTTTCCTCCTGTCCCCCTTTCTTTGCTCAAGCATTATTTGCGCTCACAAGATTATCCCTCAGGGACATGAGGTGTCCTGCCTCAGACAATGCTGGCTCTAGGATACTGGATCAGAGTGGTCAACCCTAGGCCATTTATCTCCCTGTGCCCTGGGAAGCAGCAACAGAGCCGTTGATGGGTGGGGGAGCTTCAGACTGCCTGATCTTTACATCTTTACAGCCAGTCAATGCCCTGGCTGCTCATCTGAGACTTACGCCTTTGATTGCTTTAAAAAATTGTTAGTAGCAAAGTGTTCTTGGATATGTGTTCTCCTTTTCCAGGGCCAGTGAGATCAGATTTTGATATGAAAGCTCAAAGCTTCTCAGATCTCTCCTTCTTCGCTTTCTTCCTGTCTCTGTCTGTACATTGCTTGAGAACCTTCCAGAAGCAGATGGGTGCTCCTTATGTGATGCAAAAACAGAAAGGCCCAAGGGTGGTATCCTTGCTCCTGTCTCCTAGGTAGGCCTGTGTTCCATGGCTTGGTGGCCTCTGCATGAGTGAGTCACTTTCAGCCTAGGCCTAGATGGACTTATTTAGGGAAGGAAGCAGATACCCACCCAGGTCCTCCACCCACCTCTGCACCTACTCATGCATGGAACCACATGGACCCCTCTGCACACACCCACCTCTCATGCATGGAACCACATGGACCCCTCTGCACACACCCACCTCTCATGCATGGAACCACATGGACCCCTCCACTCACACCCACCTCTCATGCATGGAACCACATGGACCCCTCCACTCACACCCACCTCTCATGCATGGAACCACGTGGACCCCTCTGCACACACCCACCTGTCATGCATGGAACCACATGGACCCCTCCACTTACACCCACCTCTCATGCATGGAACCTCATGGACCCCTCTGCACACACCTATTTCTTATGCATGGAGCCACATGGGCTCCTCTGCACACACCCACCTCTCTATGTGGAACCACATGGACCTCTTGCCCCACTGCATAGCCCCAGCCATCAATGTTGGGAGCTGTAATTATAAAACTGCCCAGCCAGTTTGGTAACCCAACTTATATGTGGATGCTGAGACCTGTTTTGGGTCAAGAGTAAGTGATTGACCTCACTTGCAGAGATGGTTTCATTTGTGTGAATTATAAACCACCTCTGAGACAGTGTTCTACTTGTTTCCAGAAGTGCTTTTGCTGGAAAGCATGCCCTGGTAGCATTGTGAGGATGAATGCATAAAATTCCCAGGGAATCAGTTTGATGGGGGCAATGCTCCCTTGGCTGCTGGAGCTTGTTATAAACCAGCATTGTGACCTTATTGTCACTCTCCACTCCTTTTTTCTTGCTGGATCTTCTAAGACCTGACCCTTTGCTTCCTCCATCTCCTTTCTTGTTTCTCCTTCCCTTCTGGGAAGCAGAAAGAGCATGAGTGTCAGAGTCAGACGGGCAATGTAATCCTGAGCAAGCCGCAAGGTCCGAGCCTTAGTTTCTTTATCAGGAAGATGGGCATAACAATGCCCACCTCAAAAGGCAGTCATGGAACCAAACAAGGGGACCTCCTTTAAAGTGCAGGCACATAGTCAATAATGTGCCTGCCTCATTCCATTCTATCATCTCCTTCACCCTTACTCCCAAATCCCCTTATCCACTCTCCGAATTCTCCCTCCATCCTCTGCAAGTGAGGACTGCCACTGACATGGTGTCCATGTCCTGGGAGCAGTAAGGGTGGGGAGAAGCAGGAGGGCAGTGAGTGGATATATTCCGACCCTCATCCAACATGGACATCTGCCTGGATGTTGGCAATTCCCTTCCTGAGTAATCCTCTGGCACTGGGGCTCTTGTCCTGTTCTCTGGGCCTGGCTCTGCCCATTGCCTTCCTGGGATGGGGAGTGTGAAGACCCTGGAAGGCTAAGGCACTGCCAGGGATGCCTGAAGCTTGCCCTGCTCCTGTGGCCCTGCCTTCCCTGTCCACTGGGCTGGGAGGCAGGGAAGAGGTCCTGGGGAGGTCTAAGGACATGTTTTCATCACATATGCAGCCGCTGTGCCCACCCCAGGCAGCAGGCTCTTCCACCCTCTATCCCCAGGTGTTTGAGACCTTGACACCATGCCTATCTTGGGGGACACCTTCCTTCCCCCACCCTGACTACTCCCTCCAGCCACCCCTTTTTCTTCCTTGATGGCTGTCCACCATAGGACCAGAAGTTTTAGGGTTTGAAGCTTATCTCCTCCTGATCGTTTTACCACTTTGGAAACTGAGTCCCATGAGAAGGAAATCACATGCCCAAGGTTAAGCAGTGAAGTCATGGCCCAGCCGGGGTTGAAACCCGACTCCTGAGTCTCAGTTCAGAGATCGGTCTCTTCTACCCTAAGCTCCTTCACCCTTCAGTGTAGCTCAGGGCTTCTCACCTGCGGCACTACTGGCATTTGGGACCAGATAATTGCTTGTTGTGGGGTCTGTCCTGTGTATTGTAGGATGTTTAGCAGCATCTTTGGCTTCTACCCATTAGACACCAGGAGTATTTCTTCTAAGTGCAATAACCCCAAATATCTGCAGTTATTGTTACATGTTCCTTGGGGGGCCCTGTCTACCTCGGAGGTGCTTCTCTTTCCTCTAACCTCTCATCTTTGTGAGCTCATCTGTCCCTTCACTGGGGACACTCTGTTCTGTTCCCTCCTTCTGTTCTGGGATAGGGCTGCTTGGAATGAACACTCAGCCATTCTGTTCCTTAAGAGAAAGAACAAAGAGCCAGGGCAGGAATGTTGCTTTATACCTACCAAAGAAAGAGCTTGACAGGAAGGGGCTAAGCCTCAGGAGGCGGTGGCCATGGAGGCTGGAGCACCTTCCTCCCTGGAGAGACCTCTTAGTGTGAATGAGGGGCCCTGGCCACCTGGCTCCAGCCATAGGTCTGCTGGCTAGAAGGATGATTTAGAGGGATTTAGGGTATTTGCTTGACCTACAGTTGGGGAGTATGTCTTCATTGTAAAATTGCCCACCAATGTCCCACTTTCCTTGCATATCTAAACCTGCAGACACTGGTGGCTCTTCTATAATGAGAGTTCATAGTCTCCGAGCACTCATCTCATGGCGTCTGACTGAGATTTGGCAGTGGGGAGGACTCCCTCGGAGAGTCAGGGGCCCTGGTGGCGTTCTCACTCCAGCACTGACCATCTGTGACTGTGGGAAACTCTTTTCCCCTCCATGAGTTGGGCAGATGAAATCGGGTGGGTAGGTTAGGCCAGATAAACTTCACTACATCCTCTGGCTTGACCATACTGGGATTCTAGCAAATGTCCTGGGCTGGCTGCCCACGGTATGGCGTCAAGTGACAAATCTGGGGTCTCGAAGAATCCTTGGTACCTGAGAAGTCTCCAGAAGGTATCTAGGCCCACCCCCCTGCCTCTAAAACTTGTGTTTCATGAAACTTCCCTGCTCAGGGCCATCTCAAAGGGTACAGGGAATACTCAGCTGCCTCTGAAGACATAGTAATACCATCATCTTTCAAGCGTAGTTTAACCCATCCCCTATTGGGAAAGACTTTTCTCCTGTCATTTTCTGTAGTTTGTTTTAAGAAAAAAAAAATTGTCTTTTTTTTCCCCCAAATAGGAAACATGGTAAAATGAATTGTATCCTTTTTTGAACCAGATTTGCCATGTCCCGCCCTCTGCCCAAGCCCCCAGGAAGTTCTTTCCTATTTATGCGGGCAGCTGAGGTCATGCCCATCCTTCTCTCCATGTGGTCCTTGATGCTGAAGCCATCTCTGCAGGTGGAAGTGGCAATGCATTTCAGGCATACCGTTGACAGTGACCAGTGTTGGTATAGCCTCAGTATTTGTTAATGGAACGCTATCACATCCTTGGAGTCTGCACCATGTTGGAAGCCTCTTCTCTGTACTGGGCATTCCAGGCCATGATTTTTGAGCAGAGATAGGGTATGTCCTAAAGCTTATGCTTTGGGTGTGATACATATGGCCTGATGAGATAGGGTCACAGAGGTACTGCTCAGGGGGCAGGAGGTGCAGGGCAAGGAAGGGGAGACAGGGAAGCCTGTGCCACACTGCTGGTGGTCTGTCCTTTGGAACACCTTCTGTGTTCTGTGCACTGTGCTGAGAGCTTTTCATGTGTTCTATCAGTCTTTGCACTACTTTCTGAGACACAATGACTAATATACCCATTTTACAGATAAGAAAACTGAAGCTCAGGCAAGTAAGTGGCTCAGGGTTGTCTCAAGCTAGTCATTGGTAGTCTCTGTATTCAAACCAATGTCTGTTTGACTTCCAAGTCCATGTTCTTAACCTGGCAGATACTGAAGTGTTGAGAATGAGTAGGGCTAGGCATAATCTTAGTCTGTATTAACAAAAGCATGGCTTCCAGAACATGGGAGGTGATAGGCCTATTGTGCCTCTCGTAGGTCAGGGTGCCCACATGGGATGTTTGTGGGTCCCTTGCTTCAGAGTGATCAAGAACGACTGGAAGCAAGTGCAGAGAAGCAACCAGAAAGTCTGCTGGGCTCAGGGACTTGCAGGGAGAGGCGTTCTCTGTCAAAGGGGAGATTTTGGAGGACAGGCGTGTCTCATTCAGTATCTGAAGGGTTCTCCCGAGGGAGTGATTGGTTTGTTCTGACCCATTCCACTGGGCACCATAAGGCCAGTTAGTGGAAAAGACAGGGCTTCTGGATGTTTTTTCTTATGCTGAGCTAAAATCCACTATTACAGCCCCCTAAAGGTGAGCTGGGCTTTTGGGGGAAGACAGTGAGACTCCTGAACCTGGAAGCATTTGAATACAGCTAGGAACAGTTTTTGTCAATTCTGGCTGTCCCTTATTTGTAGTGGGGACCATTTTCAAATTCATATTCCCAGGCCCCTCCCAGACAGATTTGCCTCTGGGTGGAGTCGGGGATTAGGGTTCTTATAAAACTTCCCGGGGGCTTTCTAGTATAGCTGCTCCCCTGGATAGCAGTGGAGAACCATTGGATGGGGTTGCCACTGGAAGGAACTATTGTGTGGTAGTGTTTTCCAAAGTATGGGTTCAGGGGTCAGACTGCTAATTGTATATGAACTGATATTAGGTATATTTATTTTGATGCATATTGGAAAAAAGGTATATATTTTGCACATTGAATCTGTGACATCATGGATATTGTGCTTAGAACTAATTTAAGTTAAATGAAGCTTATTTTTACAACTTACAAAATGATAATGTAGATGGTATTCAGATGGGCAAATAATCATGAAGGCTGTATGCAAACAAAATCTCTGCTAACACTGTTGTGGGTTGGGTGGGGTGGGGACAAGTGGGTGAACTGGAGTGACTTAAACCTTTCAGAAGCCTGGGATTTGTTGGTTAGTTCTAGAAGGTTCTATGGAGGTAGGAGGATAATTGCCATAGTTTGTCCAAACTGTGGTCTTCCCCAGGTGAAGCCTGAGGCATGGAACCCATCTGCTTCCCCTCCCCTGCCCTTCCTGATTTTAATGGTCACTTTGAAGTCTGTGACGAGCTGTCTCACTTTATCTCATCAGTGAAGATAGGGCAGTGGGCTGGGCGTGGTGGCTCATGCCTATAATCCCAGCACTTTGGGAGGCTGAGGCAGGCAGATCACATGGTCAGGAGATCGAGACCATCTGGCTAACGTGGTGAAACCGCACCTCTACTAAAAATACAAAATTAGCTGGGCGTGGTGGTGCACACCTGTAATCCCAGCTACTCGGGAGGCTGAGGCAGGAGAATCGCTTGAACCCAGGAGGAGGAGATTGTAGTAAGTCGAGATGGTGTCACTGCACTCCAGTGACAGAGGGAGATTCCGTCTCAAAGAAAAAAAAAGATAGGGCTGTACAGGGCACTGGGTACCATTTTTGTTCTTCCCCTTATTTTCTTTCTTTGCCCTCAAAGAGCAACAGCCAGGGAGGGGTACTGACAGTGAGGAGGGGCTGAGGTCTCAGGTGTCTGATTTCCCATGCTCAGGGGAAACAGAGGGAGAAGTAGGTGGGCTGTACCTGGTAGGGCTCTCCCTCCCAATCCCACAGTACCAAACCTAGCTGGGAAGGTCTGAGCATGAGGATGGGGGCGACTACTGCTTAGGGCAAGCCTGTGTCCGTGGAAGCACTCTGGGGTCGCAGACTAGCTGGGGCCCTCTGCATGGAGACACCAGTCACTGAGGCTCCTACTGGTCTGGTTGCAAAGCCCAGATCACCACCTGTCCACTCTGAGAACTGGGTTGGGAAATTCAATCGATATACAAATAAGTCACAAAACATGCTAATAAGAGTGGGGATTTGCTGTCTTCCTATCAGTTAGGGACTCCTGGCACTTTTTAGAGCACACTGGGATCACGGTAGGAAGTTGAGGGCCGCTCACTTGTTTTCCGGCTGCATGGTCTGCCTCGGACCTGGGTGGTTGGGAATGACGGTGAGGCACTGCGAACTCTGAAAAATGATACTGTGCTATTCATGATTTCCACAGACGGGAACAAGCAGAATACCAATAGCCAGTCAATTGGAGCAGGTCAGGTGGCCTGGAGGATCAATATGGCAGGCCAGACACACACTGACCGTCCTAAAGTTAGGCCCCCAAAATGTCAAGCTTGCTAAGCCAGAATCCAAAGCTTTGCACTGAGAACGTCATGTTGGGGCTCCTGTCCCCTCCTGGAGCCCTGCCAGGGTGACACCCCGGTCCTTCTGTTCAGGCCCTGTGTCCACCTGGGAGGTGCAGGGGCCCTGCCTGGGTGACACCCCGGTCCTTCTGTTCAGGCCCTGTGTCCACCTCTGGGAGGTGCAGGGGCCCTGCCTGGGTGACACCCCGGTCCTTCTGTTCAGGCCCTGTGTCCACCTGGGAGGTGCAGGGGCCCTGCCTGGGTGACACCCCGGTCCTTCTGTTCAGGCCCTGTGTCCACCTGGGAGGTGCAGGGCCCTGTGGGAGGTTTTCCTTTTTCCTTTTTCAAGTCAAGGAAGTGTCCTGGCTCCCAGACTCTGCCCTGTGGAGGGGAAAGAGAGGGAGAGAGAGGGAAAAAAGATTTCCACCTTATTGTTCAGCAGCTGGAAAATTGTTGTCATCTGTTCTGCCTTCCATTTGCCGAGAATGGAAAAAAAATGTGGAAAATTTGGGGAAATAAATCTCAGTACCCTCATAGGACCTCTCTCTCCTCCCTCTCTGGCCCTTGCATCCCTGCCTCTCTGCTCAGGACCTCAGTTTCACTTTGCTCCCAGGTTCTCTCCTGCTTCTCCTCAGGGCACTGGGGCTGCCATGGGTTTGGGACTGGGGCTGGGCTGGGCTGTGCTGGGACCCTGGGACCGGGCTGGGCTCGACTGTGCTGGGTGAGAGTTGAGCAGGGGCTGGGGCTGGGCTGGGGCTGGGGCTGGGGCTGGGGCTGGGGCTGGGCTGGGGCTGGGGCTGGGGCTGGACTGGGCTGGCCACTTTTCCTGACTCCCGGCCGGTGGGAGTGGAGGGCTTGGGAAGCCACTGTGATGTCATTCAAGAACTGCATAGCTGCAGGATGATAAGTGAAGCCCTGGGGACCCAGCTGGCTGAAATTACAGACAGAGTTTTATCCCACTGGCTTCCTACAAGCCAGAGTGAGGCAGAGCAAGCTGAGCTGGGGTGAGAGCACGCAGGAGAGTGGAGGGAGGGAGGGAGGGAGTGGGGTGTGTGTGTGTGTGTGTGTGTGTGTGTGTGTGTGTGTGTACATGGGCAGGCAGGCGGCACTGGCTCCTCCCACCCCTGACAGTCGGAGGGAGCTTGAGTAGGACACAGACGGCACTTGGAGCTGCAGCCCTGTAGGAATTACTGGGAACTTGGGGCACCAGGATCAAATCAGAGTGGGCTTCCCTCTGCTTCCTCCCTCTCCCTCCAGAGGGTAAGTGTCTGCTGGGCAGTTGTTTGGCCTGTGAGTGTCCTTGTGTGGCTTTCTGCTGGACCTGGGCTTGTGAGGTGGTGCTTCCGTGCTAGGAGGGTGTGGAGGGGCAGGTTCTGTCACGACCCCACTGGGGAAGGGCTTGTGGCTGAGCGGGGCTTGGCCCCTTGTGCTGCTGTCTGATGAGGATGTGACAGGCCTCACGGTCTCCCTCCTGAACTTGCTTCTGGGACACGTAAGAGCCACGGCTTTCAGGTCAAGGGTACCTGGGTTGGTGGGGGGCCGTGTGTCTCAGTTATCCTAAGTCTTATGGAGTGATGGTTCACCTTGGGCGCAAATAGGGTGGGGAGAGGGAATGAGGTGGAAGCGTAGACGGCCCCGCTGAGGTGTTATTCGGGATGCCCCCTCCCTGCATCTGTGGCCTGAGCTTCGGGGCACCTCCAGTGCTCACCATTCCCCACCGGCCTCCTGTGGGCTCCCATTCACGGCTTTCTCCTGACTTTGGCAGGACTCTTGGAAGCCTGACTCCCCTCTGGCCAGGGATCTCTGAGTGCCCAGGCTGGCACTCTGGCCTGGCAGAGAAGGATTCAGCTCGTTTTGGGCTCTAGAGCTATTTTTATCATCCTGAGTGTACCTGTGGTGTCTGCTGCCCGTATAGGCTGAGGGTAGGGGCGGGAGTGCCAGGCTCGGGTTATAGCTGCAGGCTAGGGAGGACACAGGCCAGGCCAGAGTCAGGAGGCTGGGTCTGAGCGTTCACATTTGTCCTGTGGGTGCGGGCTGTCCGAGGCAGGGCAGATCACTCACCCTGTGGGCCCCTGGTCCCTTGGGACTAAAGTCAAGGTCGCGATCAGGTTTTCTGCTCCTACTCCCTTTTTATGGAGGGCATGGTATAAATTCAAGTAAGATGGTATCTGGGAAAATTGCCATGGGTCCTTCCTAAGGAGGGCCCGGGGACACATTTATCATCATCGCTTGGCAGAAGCAGCATATATTATGTTGTCTTGTGGTTCTGGGTCCACAGCCATAGTTGGAAAGTCTGTCTTCCAACGACCCCAGCCCCAGCCATCTTCACCTTGAAGTGGCATGAAGAACAAGAACGCTGAAGGGGGAGCCGGAGGTTCGGTTTTACACTTCCTTGCTGAGTGACCTTGGGTGGTCCTGAGCCTGCTGAGCTTCATTGTCAGCCTATAAAGTGAGGGGTGGGCAGGGGATTAACTCCTCCCCTAAGGCCCTTCAGCTCTAAAAGCCCCAGGGCTCAGCCGACCTCCCTGGCCCTGAAGATCCCATTTCTGCTGTCCCCCAGAGGGCCTGCAGCAGCGGAGGCAGCCATGGGTGGGAGGGGCTCTATTTTTGATTTCAGTCTGAAGCTTACTTTCTCCATCTTCAAGGCCACAGGCTGACATTCAGATTTGGGTTCCATGCGGGTCTCAGGCCTTGAGCCTCCCTCTCTATTTTTCTTGGACTCAGTGGAATGGGGAGGTGGCCAGGAGAAGCCCAGCTGGGCCACCCTCCCTAGGTCCAGAGGCAAGCTTGTGGGTGACACTGATGAGGTCACTTGCTTAGAGGACAAAGCCACCTGTGACAAGATTGACAGCACAGCCCTAAGAAAAATCTTGTTCTCTTCTGTTCACTTTCTGAAGGTGCAGTGGGTTCCCTCCGATGTGTGCTATTAAGTGGGAAGAAAAACAGTGTCTGTTTGTCACTCATGGACTGGTCTGTCCCTGCCCACAGGGGCCTGAGGCCCTGTGCTTGTCCATGTTTCCAATGTGCCCCTAAGTCTTCTGGCTGCACCTGGCACCTGCCCTCTTTGCTGTTTCAGAGGCTATGTCTCCTCTGTGTGGCTCTCCTTCAGAGGTTCCGGGATTTCTCTTCAACCCCTAATTCTGCAGATCTTCAGAGCCCCTGTGGAAGTCCATTCTCCTTGAGAAAGTTCCAGAGCTTGCTGCAGGCTGTGCAGAACAAAGGGCTGCCTCAATACTCGGCTGTCTGTGGGAAGGGAAGCTGACATGGGTGGAGGCCAGGACTGTCACAGACTGGAAGTCCCTGCCACCAATGCCAGGATGTTTCAAGAGGCCAGGGTCTTCCTGGAGCCAGAGGCTGGGCTTCTCCTCACTGCCCTCATGCCTTCCTCACATCACTTCCCCTGGCAGGTGAAAACCCAGTGGGGTGGTCTGAGCCACTTCTCAGGCTCTTGTAGCTGCAGTTCCTGTTCAGTGCGTCGTCCCATTTTGCCTGGCTGGAGCCTGACATTCTCCACACAATTCCTGGGTGACAGGATCTCCAGAGACAGCACCCTAACTTTTCGATGCTTATGCTGTATCTTGGGATCCACAGATGGGCTTTGGGATGTCCATCAACTGCCTTATCTCATCACATCTCCCAGGGTCCTTGGTCTAGGACAGTGACTGTCCACTGGGCTGGAGTGTAGCTGGAGAGGTCTGTGGGGGATGCCATGGGGTAGGCACTGGTTCAGGGACCTCAACTCTGCCCAGCCTTTGCTGCTGAACATGAGGAATACCCATCGCTCATGTTTTGGCTGCACTGACTCTCTTCCCTCACCTTTGGGAGAAGCTTGGGGTCCACTTAGAACCCCTGATTTTTCACTGGGTGGTGGTGAAAGAAGAGGATCCCAGTGGCTGACAGAACTACATAAAGCTTTCTGGGCTACTCAGTGTAATGCAAAAAGCATTTATGGAACACCTAATATGGGCCAAGCACTGTTCTCTGGGGCCATTCTGTACAGACATACAAGTTACACACTGAGCTCCAAGAAGCATCAATCACACAGGCCACATGTGGATGGCACCATTCGGGAACCAGGCCCTAAGGAGAGGGAGAAAGTGAGAGAAATAAAGGCTTTTCCTCAAGGAGCTCTCAGCTCAGTGGGAAGATAGCCATGGACATGCATAGTGACCATTCTGTGGGTGACTAGTGTCACAGTGGAGATGTCTGCAAGGGATAGCAGGAGCACAGCTGAGGTTTACCTGAGTCTGGAGGACAGCAGGGAAGAAGTCAGATGAATGGAAACTTCCCAGGGAAGTTCAAACTGACCCTGAAAGCGTTTGCCTGGGAGGTTGGGAGTTTCACTGGGAAGGATGAGGAAGGGCATCTCAGGGGTGAACAGCGCGCACAGAGGTGCAGAGGGGAGAGAGCGTGTGAAGAGTAGGAACAGAACGGCAGGTGTTTGGGATATGGGGGACAGGGAAGTGAGGCTTCAGAAGGCAGGCAGAGGCTGGGTGGTAAAAGGTCTGACATTTCCAGCAGGGGGGTTGGGCTTTACCCTGTGGGTGATGAGAGCTGTTGAAATGTAAACCAGGAGATGGAAAGAGGAAAAGTAGAGAGTGCTCGGATATGCCAGGTCTAGCTCAAGAGCCTTAGCTCCTGAGTGCCATCACTCAGCAAAGCTGCACGCACACATTCAAGTCCTCACCTGACAAGCCCAGAGGCCGGGCTGTGACTGGGTAAGTGGCCGATGCAAGCTGACATGGCCATTAAGATGGGAACCATGTTTCTGAGTGCTCGTGTGTCTGGTGGCCAAGGTGGGGTGGGAGGGTGCACTTCCCTGTCTCCTCTCCAGAGCTACATCCCCTGTGGCCTCCCTGTTCCCAGCCCTTCCTCCTCCTCTTGTCCTGCCCCAGCCGTAGCCTCTCCTGCCTCCTTCCACGGCCGGGGCAGAGTGTGTGGATAAGGGAAAATGCAACCACAACTTGCTATCTGGGGAGCCTGTTGGCCAAGTTTCACTTCTCATCAAAGCTCACCCACCTCTCAGATGCACATGGCCTTGGATTCCCCACTCCTCTTTTTTTTTTTTTTTTTGAGACAGAGTCTTACTCTGTTGCCCAGGCTAGAGTGCAGTGGTGCTATCTCTGCTCACTGCAACCTCTACCTCCCAGGAACCTCTATCTCCCAGGTTCAAGCAATTCTCTGTCTCAGCCCCCTGAGTAGCTGGGATTACAGTTGCCCACCACCCCACCCCCTGCTAATTTGTTTTGCATTTTTAGTAGTGATAGAGTTTTACCATCTTGGCCAGGCTGGTCTTGAACTCCTGACCTTGTGATCCACCCACCTCAGCCTCCCAAAGTGCTGGGATTACAGGTGTGAGTCACTGCGCCTGGCCTCCCACTCCTCCTTTTAAGGAGTTCTGCCCAGTCTGCCTCCAAACTGCCTATGTCCGGGGTAGGGATTGTGCTTCTTCATTGGCATGGCACCGATTTTCCCCCACGTTGGTTGGCTGGTCGTCATGGCTCTGGGTAATGCATTTTAATGAATTGTTATTTGCTGGACGTGGACCCAAAGGACTCTTTATCATGAAGGGACCCATCCTGAAAACCTTAATAAATCATTTGCTATTGAAAACCTACCTGTTGGCAGGACAGGGAAGAGTCTGTCCTCACTGGGTCATCGCCAACGAAGGTCCTTTCTTGCCGTCAATATGGCTGGCACCTTTTATTCTTATGGTTGGGCCTTCTGTCCTAACATCTAAATAAGCAACACCTCCCTACTTCTCGTAAGGAAGAGAAGTGCGTGTTCTTGACCTCAGAGCCCAAAGTGCTGATCACCTGGGGCGGGTTTCTCTAAATGTCCTCCAGCTGTGTGTGCGCCAAGACCCCCTGGAGACCCAGGTCTCCAATTGGAAGTCTTTGGGGATAGGGTCCTGAAATCTAGATTGGTAACAGTCTTCAGGGGAGGTTCTTATAGACATTAAAATTAGGAAATGACTGCCCTGAAGCTGTGCGGCTTCAGCGTTCCCTGTTTTCCTTTGTTCTTTTTTAAGTGTGTGAGCTGGCTGCATCCTTACTTTCCCGCATCCTGGCCTCTGCTGCAGCATTAGTGCCGTCCACACCTCTGCACCCTTTGCTGGGAGGGAGCCTCAGGGAGTGCGTGCACACCCAAGTCAGCTGGGGATTTTCCTCAGAGCTTTCCAAAAGCATGACTCGCGCATCTGGATTACGGCTGTCCTAGAATTAAGGCCCCTTGGTGCAATCAAGCTCAGTGTCAAGGGTGGAGTCTGGGACTCCCTGCAGCTGCTGAGAAGACCAGGGAGATAGCCTCGGACAAAGCCAGTGGGGCCATGGAGAGATTTTGGATTTTGCAGCCACCTAGAGGAATGGGCAGGGCACAGGACCTTTCAGCCCATGAGGGCAGATGTGCTGGGCATGGGGCCTGGAGCTCTCCACCTGGGGCCGCCTGCAGCTTGTGTTTCTGCTTCAGTTTAATCCACTCCATTGCCACTCATGCCGGTACCCACAACCCTCAACCATGCAGACCCCTCCCTCTAGCCCATGCCCTATTGCTCTGGGTGTCCAGCTTCGTCTCATCGAGATGGATTCCCCCGAGCTGACCACTCCCTTGGCAGCTGCTGGGACTTTAAGGAGATAGCTCTGGAGGCCCCTCAGATTAAGAACCATAAAGCCACTACCCCCAGCCTCCTTTAAGTCCTCTCTCCTGTCCTCCTCTACCTTATTTCACCCCTGTCCTCTCTGCCCCCGTCTCTCTTTTGCCCTTCCTGCCTTGATGGATTGAAACCAACGTTGTGTTCCGGCTTCTTGTGGTCCCGGTAAAAAGCTCTAAAGTGGTCGTGGTGGATGGGGAGAAGGGAGTGACGAGAGTGTGTGTGCCGGAGCGGGGGCTGGGGACTTTTGTCTGTCTCTGATGGGAGGAGGAGGGGCATGTGTTCCACAGATCCTGCCCCTGTGCTGGGGTTTCAGCAGAACCCTCCCACTGTGGGGGCTAGACAGCCTGGGACCAGCCTGGGTATCCTTAGAACCTCCCTTGGATAGGAAGAGGAGTTCAGCTCAGCAAAGGTGCCGATGGCCTGAAGAGTTCAGTCCGGGGCCAAGAGACATTTCCATTTGTAGTTAGCAAACAGGAGTTAATTAAACAACTTACACCAGTTTGATTTTCTTACTATGCCTTAGTGGCTGGGCTGTGTTTGTTCCTGATGTTGTTGCCGCAAACAGGAAGCCCACTTGGGGATAGATTACATGACAGAATAAGTTTAATATCGACATTTTCACAATCAATGGAGAGCAGGGCTTGGCCACAGGGGCAAGGAAGGGCTGAGATATCAGGTAGTCAATTCTCCCTCCTGCCTGGGGGATGTCTTCATAGCTCTTGTGCTGAACGCTCTTCTTTTGTGAATCACGACTGAGATGCTGCAGGGGTCTGTGTGCTTTCTGATTTGAATCTATACCCAGTGGCTCTCACTATGGGACGTGTCTAAGTGGGGAAGCCACTGGACATGCCAGCCTTTGCTTTGCAGCTCCCCACTTCTCAGACCATATGAGCCTAAACTTGGGGGATGAGAAGATGCAAAGGATGGAGGGGACCACCGACCCAGGAGGGAAATTCTGGCACCTCACAGTGTAGGCAGCAGAGGGGGTGCCCTGGCCCAGGAGGGGGCCTGCAGCTTTCTAGGTACAGTGAGAAGGAAAGCCAGCTCTTCAGATTTCAGCCAGCCGGTCCAAGGGGCCCCATCCTCAAGAGAACCACCCCAGAGATCTGAGTGCAGCTGAGATCTGTGTCCAGTGCTTTGCCCCTCTAGAAACAGCCAGCTGAGGTTTCTTCTTTTTTGTTAAGTAAGGAGCTCAGTTCTTTGGAGGGAGCAGGCATGAAGGTCAGCCTCCCTCATCCTTTAGTGAGAGGACCCCTTTACAATGATAACGGGGGATTGGAAGAGGCAGCTGTGCCTGGTCCTGATCTCAGCAGCCTTTAGGGCCAGGTTGGTGGAGATTCAGAATGTATTTTAGCCAAAACCCCCTTTCGGTTCAGACCAGCTCCCACCCCTGGGCCCTGGGCCACTGCAATACTCTGGCCTTGTGTTGTTTGGGGCTGGTGTTGGCTGAGGTCCTGAAGCCTTGGGGAAAGCTGAGGGCAGAGAGGTAGATCTGGAGAGGTACGTGAGGAGGGCATCCAGCTCCCAGGGTGTGTGTGTGTGTGTGTGTGTGTGTGTGGTGTATGGGGATGCAAGTGCCTGATGGGGCATCTCTGTGCTAGCTCTTGGTGCTGTAACATGGCTGGCCTGTGTGGCCTGTGGTTTCTGTGTGTGTGTATGTTGCTCTGGATGTTCTCGTTTTGTGGTTGTCTGATCACTTGTTTTTGGCCTTAGGCTTCTGTCAAAGTGTTTATTTTTAGAGGCTGCCACTTCTGGCCTAAGGGCTGATCCTTGGGCATGGTAGGAACATTTGCATTTTCTGAAATATTTGTGGCTTAAAGTATTTATTTGGGGTTATTCTTGCCTGTTATGTGTTTATTCTACTTTGTGTGTATGGTGTGTGTGTGTGCGTGTGTGTGTTTGTGATAGGAGAGAGGTGTAGCATAATAAAAATTGCATAGTCTTTGAAGGAAATTAGTTCTGATTTTAAATCTTGGCTTTATCCTTTGTCAGGTAGCATTGTCTGCAATGGTTTCCCCTCTCAGAGACTCAGTTTATCTCTGGCTGTGATTGGTGTAATTCTCTCTGTCTGGGAGGTGATGGCCACAGAGGATGCAAGTGTAGAGTGCCCAGTGAAGTGCTGGTGTCCGGGCTGCGTTCACTGCATGGTGGCTGGTGTTGTTGATGTCTGTGTGTACATGGCCACGCCAGTGCTTTCCGACTGTGGTTCTTAGCATTGCGCGGTATCCAGTGCGTGCGCACGCCTGGGTGTTTCTGATTTGGGTGATCTCTGATTGTCTTTGTGTCTGGGTCGCTGTGTGACTGCTGGTGTCTGTCTGGAGCTGGTTCAGTCTTTGGGAGGGGGCTTTTTCCTTGCTAACGGAGAGCCAGGATAAGAGTAAGGGGAGGGGAAGTGCTTGTGTGTGTGTGTGTGTGTGTGTGTGCGTGTGCGTGTGTGTGTGCGTCTGTCGGGGCTGGCGGCTAGGCTGCTGACCGTACAGGGTGTGAAATCACTGAGTTCCTCTGGGCGGGGAAGTTCTTCATTCCTGAGTCAGCCCTTTGGCCCCGAGCCACCCAGCGCTCACTTTTTCCTTCCAGAGAAAGTGTTGCTTGGGGGGTCCTCAGAGCTGTCTGCAGACAGGAGGACCCTCTCCCCACTGAAGACATCTCGTTTTTGTGTTCACGATCCCTAAGATGCTTCCCCTCCTACCCTAGTCCCCGAACTCCCTGCAAAGGCACCTATATGTCCCCATCCTCCAGCACAGGAAAAGCGTGTCCCCTCTGGCACTGGGGCTGTTGGCTCGGCTGAGCCCCACCTTGGCCCATACTTCAGGGGCCCCTGGGCTGGCTCAGAGCAGTGGGATCAGGACACTCATCTTTGCACACCTGCTGCAATCCTTCCCTGGGCCCGCGACCCTTTCCTGGAGTCTTGGGTGGTATGGGCTGAGCTTGCTGGTGGAGGGTAAGGGGTCCATAAGGGGTGAGCAGTCCTGGGGAAGAGCTGGCAGGAGGCTTTGAGAATGTGGCAGTGAGCAGCATGAATGACATTGTATCTCTGAATGGTTCTAGGGCATTCTTTGCATTGAGCTGGAGACAAACCTAGCTGAGGGTGGCAAGCTTGTCTTAGAGAGTCCCAGCTCTGTCTTCAGCCTCCCTGCCACTACCACCTTGGGCGTGGTGGGTCCTTTGCTGTACCCTGCTGCCCTCCTGGGCTCTCCCCCTGCTTCCCTGGGCAAAGACTATCCTCAGGAATGACTTGCTGTCCATGCTGATACCTCTATGGGCGTTCAAGGCAACGGCTACTCTCCTGGCATTCTGCCTCTCACTCAGGGTGGGAACGCCAGAAATTGAAGCAGGGGTGAGACTTTCTGAGATGGGGTGGTGGAGGGGACTGAGGATGCTTTGGAAATGGTCATTCAGGAATTAATGATACTCATAATGGTGATGGTTAGGGTTCCCAGCTGTTGACCTCCCACCACGTGCCAGGAGCTGGTCTCAGCATATCATGTGTCAACTCATTTAAACTCGAAGCACTGTGTGTTTAATGAATGTTGGCAATTTCAGATGCTTCAACCAGATTCTATGATTATCCCCATTTTATGGACCAGAAAACTGGCTCAGAAGCTGGTGAAATGTCAGAGCTAGGCTTGGGACTGGAGGAATTTGCCCTGAGCACTCCCTGCTCACGTGTTGGGCTCCATTGCCTGGCCCTGTGTTGGCGAGGATGCAGGGAATGGGAACTCTTAGCCCCTTTCTCTGGGAGAGTGAACAATACCCCTGCCTCCCACTGATGTCTGCTGTCTTTTGTCTCCCCTCCGGCTCTGTCCTTGCAGAGGTGGTGGGACACACACAGGGGCCACTGGATGGGAGCCTGTATGCAAAGGTAAAGAAGAAGGACTCCCTGCACGGCAGCACCGGGGCTGTTAATGCCACACGTCCTACACTGTCGGCCACCCCCAACCACGTGGAGCACACGCTTTCTGTGAGCAGTGACTCGGGCAACTCTACAGCCTCCACCAAGACAGACAAGACTGATGAGCCTGTCCCCGGGGCCTGCAGTGCTCCTGCTGCCCTGAGTCCCCAGGAGAAGCGGGAGCTGGACCGCCTGCTGAGCGGCTTTGGCTTAGAGCGAGAGAAGCAAGGCACCATGTACCACGCCCAGCACCTCAGGTCCCGCCCAGCGGCAGGCCTGGCTGTGCCCTCCTCTGGACGCCATGTTGTCCCAGCCCAGGTTCATGTCAACGGTGGGGCGTTAGCATCTGAGCGGGAGACAGACATCCTGGATGATGAGTTGCCAAACCAGGATGGGCACAGTGCGGGCAGCATGGGCACGCTGTCTTCCCTGGACGGGGTCACCAACACCAGTGAGGGGGGCTACCCAGAGGCCCTGTCCCCACTGACCAATGGTCTGGACAAGCCCTATCCCATGGAGCCTATGGTCAATGGAGGAGGCTACCCCTACGAGTCCTCCAGCCAGGCGGGGACTGCCCATGCTGGCCACACGGCCCCCATGCGGCCCTCCTACTCTGCCCAGGAGGGTTTAGCTGGCTACCAGCGGGAGGGGCCCCACCCAGCCTGGCCACAGCCAGTGACCACCTCCCACTATGGCCATGACCCCAGCGGTATGTTCCGCTCTCAATCCTTTTCGGAAGCTGAACCCCAGCTGCCCCCAGCTCCAGCCCGAGGAGGAAGCAGCCGGGAGGCTGTGCAGAGGGGGCTGAATTCATGGCAGCAGCAGCAGCAGCAGCAGCAGCCTCGCCCACCTCCACGCCAGCAGGAAAGACCCCACTTGGAGAGTCTTGTAACCAGCAGGCCCAGCCCTCAGCCATTGGCAGAGACCCCCATCCCCAGTCTCCCTGAGTTCCCACGGGCAGCCTCCCAGCAGGAGATTGAACAGTCCATCGAAGCACTCAATATGCTGATGCTGGACCTGCAGCCAGCCTCGGCTGCTGCCCCGCTACATAAGTCCCAGAGTGTCCCTGGGGCCTGGCCAGGGGCTTCTCCACTCTCCTCCCAGCCCCTCTCCGGATCCTCCCGTCAGTCCCATCCACTGACTCAGTCCAGATCGGGCTACATCCCCAGTGGGCATTCCTTTGGAACCCCCGAGCTGGCCCCACGGGCCTCCCTGGAGTCTGTCCCTCCTGGCAGGTCTTACTCACCTTATGATTATCAGCCATGTTCGGCTGGGCCTAACCAGGATTTCCGTTCAAAGAGCCCAGCCTCTTCCTCCTTGCCTGCCTTCCTTCCAACCAGCCACAGCCCTCCAGGGCCTCAGCAACCCCCAGCCTCTCTCCCTGGCCTCTCTGCTCAGCCTCTGCTCTCACCAAAAGAAGTGACTTCAGACCCCTCTCGGACTCCAGAGGAGGAGCCATTGAATTTGGAAGGGCTGGTGGCCCATAGGGTAGCAGGTAAGAGATATTCCATCTTGACTCCTACCCCTTCCTTATTTGGTCTTGCTGGGGGGAGGTGCAGGCCCAGCCATGACCTCTAAACAGGCGTTGCTTTCACTGGCGGGAAGAGGCTCTCTGGAGCCTACATGCTTGTCAAGTTTTCCCTTCCTGCGTTCATTGTCTGTTAGGCACCAAGCCAGACACCAAATTTCAAAGTTCAATGTCGAGCAATTCCTGCTCTCAAGGAGTTTATAATCTAGTAATTGGTCAGGTACACAGACAGATGACTTCGTTAGAGAGTAATGTGTGCTGTGACAGAGACAGGATCAAGATCCCAGAGCCTGAGAAAGCAAAGCTTACCACCTAGGGCAGTCAGGGAAAGCTTCTAGGTGGTGGTGACTTTGGGGCTGGAGTACCGACTTTCTAGACAGATAGGAGACTCTGCAATTGCTTGTCATGCTGTCTGTCCTCAGACTTCAGTTCCTTGGGGGACACATTGAGAAGGCTGGTGGGAAACCTTAGATCCCCCCCTCTCAGAGACCATGAAAGAGCCTAAGAAGGTATCCTCAAGCTCTTGGGCTCTGTCTGCTGAGGCCTCTTGGGATATTGTCTTTGCAGGGTGGCCAAGGTCCCCCTTCTGAGTCAGTTTTCCTGTTAGTCCTTGCTGAGGACCAGCCCTGTGTGGGAAGCAGGCACTGAGAGACAAACCTCCTTTCCCTATCAGAGAGTGGGCTTCTCTTTTGGGAGAGCAGAAAGTGGGACACTCAGAAGAGCTTTTGGGGAGACAAAGGCAAGAAATGGCAGCGTGTCCAGGGCCGAGTTGGGAGGGGCAGCTGTGAGCCTCCCTTCCTGCTGGTCTGAGCTTGCGCTGATTCCACAGGGGTGGCTGAACTGGGCAGGAAAGCTGGTTGGGTGACTTTATTCTGGAGGTGAAGCGCAGGCAGGGGTGGACCAGAGACTGTGGGTTTGGGTGGGCCTTGTGCCAGCACCTCAGCTGACAGAGTGGTAGGAACTCAGCAAGGAGGCGAGGAGCCTGGGCAGCTGTCTCTGTCCTCCACCCCTTTTCCTAAATTTAGGGGAAGCTGAGTCACCATGCCAGCTGCAGGGAGAGAAGGAGACACCCTCCCTGGAGATGAACTATGGGTTTGGGGAAGCAGTTTAGGGCAGGCCAGCTGGCTCGGGACCTGGGTGTGGGGTCACAGGCACCCTGCTCCTATGCTTCAGAGCAGAGCAGAGTCCCCAGCCCCACTATTGGTATAATAGCTTGAAATTGGCCAGTGCAGGAGTTGGCAATCAGCCTCATCTCCCATAGAGAACTGGTCTAGCAGTAACCATTGCTTTTACCTGAGCATCAGAACACAGGATGGGCAGCTCTTAATCCTAGGGATGAAATGCCCCAAGGGTGGCCCAGATGGGCTTTGACTTCTGCCTTCTCCATATCTCGGCCCCTGAGATAAAGATACCCCCCCGCCCCCCCTCCCCACACCCACTGGCTTTGTCAAAAGAGACCCTTTTCCTCTTGATTTTATCAAGGGGAGAGGGATGGGGCTCCCTAAATTCCCTGGGAATTTAATTCCCTTCCCAGTATTTTGCAAGGTTGGAGTGGTGTCCTAAAGATTAGTGATACGCTAGTTTAACAAGGGGCAGGATACAGGAGCCTTCTCTCCGGGGGGTCGGAATACATTTCTTCTCTACAAGAACCCTTCCATGTAGCTCTCCTAGAGCTTGCTCAAGACGAGGCCATAACCCTAATGGCTCTGGCAGGATGCCCGTCTTGTAGTGGACTTCACTTTAGCCCTTTCTCTCCTACCAGTTTTTGAGGGCTCGACTGTCCGCTTCTATATTCTGTAGCCTCTCAGGCTTGGCTGCCATGAAATCACAGGGAGGGAAGGATACTGTTGTCACAATGTTCCCATTCCCTAACCCTGTCACCATCTTCTCCATCAATTGCGAGGGACTCAGGAGAAGGGCTGAAATGTATATGGGGGACAGTTATGTTTGCTTCCCAGGGCTATGAAGTTGCCTCTTTGGAACTTATTTATGCATTTATGTCGGCAGGTCCTGCATGCATGACTTCCTTAGTAGCCCTTTAGGGTATCTGCGATGCTGTGCAGATAAAGGCAGGCAGACAAGATCAATGTGTAGAACAGTCTGGGAGCCAGAGAAGATGACTTCCAGCACTGCTTCTTTTTGTTCTTTCTACATCTCTGCTGTAAGAAGCTGGAACATAGGCTTTGACATGAGCAACCTAGGAAACTCAGATCTGTGGGAGAACCTCTTCATGGCCATGAACTTGATCTGATTTCTCCTGGCTTTTCTCCCTTAGCTCTGCCTTTTTCCCCTTGGCTGTCGTCCATACCTCAGTCCCCTGTCCCTGGTTCATTCCACCTTGATCCAATCACCCCTTGTATCTTATTTCAGCTGAAGTTTTAAA